ACACTGAGAGATGTCTGTTTAATAAATCTGGTACACCCCACCCCACCCCACATTTAAAAAATATTCTCCTTAGAAACGTAATGAAACTTTTCAAAAGCCTGTCGTCTAAAAACAACGATTATTTTCAAGTTACTTCTAAGACTGGAATTGATTTCCTGCAGGTACCATTCTTTACATGAAACTCTGAAGATTTTAATTAAATTTTATAGGCCTTGGAGGCGCCAAAACATATTCTCAAGACTTTCAGAAACATGGTCGTTGAAATTGAAAAAAGAAAATAATACAGATATATCAAACATATTTTTCTCCACAGCATAAGTGGATATTTGTATAATTTTTACCCAACCATATCACTCTTTAAAATTAAAATTAGACCAAAATATATAGAGTTGAGCTCTACTATAAAACAATTTTGAGCTTACAGTAACATAATGTGTGCTTAAAGGTACAATACAAAGCATCCCCTGTCCCTTACTGTACCACCCCTCCTAACTGTTCCTCGCCCCCTTCACAAAAATAAGATCAAGAAATAGAAGTTAGGATGAAATAGAGGTAATTCTATTTAGATAATTATTAACTTTATTCTTTGGATATAGACCTAGACAGTCTAATCTTTTTAAAAAACCAGTACCTAGTAATCTTTGATTCAATTAACTATCATGGTCTTCAAATGACAATATAATAACATTACTGGAAATCAATCAACAGAGTCTACCATTTATTGATTGATATTGATTGATCTTGATTGATATAAACATTACATTCAGAGTTTCTGTTTCTCAACAACTCTGCCAGTTATATCAAATGAACATTATCATAACATTACTGGAATTTAATCAACAGAGTCTACCATTTATTGATTCATCTTGATTGATATGAACAAGGCAAAATACATCTTCGCAATGGTCAAGGAATTACAAACTTTGTCTTATACCTTGACTACAATAGCCATAGTTCTTGTATCACTCAAGTTACAGCCAATCAGAGCCCTTGATAGAAAATCTGTACATAACTAACCGTAATGTTAAAAATCTTTCTGCGAGGGCTCGGATTGGCTGTATTCGCTAACATACAATCCAATCAAATCACTGCATTCTGTGATACAAGATCAGTGACAATTGAAGTCAAAGTTTATAATATCTTGACCATTGTGACGATGGGCAAAATATAGCGAGCCACCTCTCAACACGTTCAATTTAGTTACTATTACTAAGGGGAAACAATCCAAAATAATCTGTCAGCAAAATACTACAGACTACTTTCATTAAAATACTATTAGGATTCCGTTTCTTAGAATTGGAAGCATCCACAGTTTTACAGAATGTTACATCTTATTTTCATAGCTGAAATTCCACAGTCAACTCGTCAGGGGCGTAACTGAGGGGTGAGGCGATAAAAGGGCAATAATGAGAGGTGTCAAATGGCCCAACCCCCTAAATACCTCACTGCTACTCAATACATCATGGATGCATTGGACACATTCTTGTACAGGAAGTCGAATTTGACCAATCGACCAATGAAAACTATCGTCTCAAAAGTTCTAAGCCGCTGAGTATAAGACAATAATTTCCATTGATCAAAATATCTTCAGGATTTCGACAAAATTTTTGACAAAGTTACTTTTATAATTTTAAATTTGAAGAACCATTATTAAGTTATCAAGCTTTTCAAAACAACGCCCCATGTTTGTGAGAGTTTACGGATGTACGGACTGTTCAATAAATAAAACCATTAATCTAATAATCTGCAATTGTAAAAGTTCACTGAAGCAGACACACAAATACGTCTAAAACCAGTACATGGATTTCATAATAATTACATTATTGCTTGTTTTCTTTAGATTTAGATCAATACTTGAGAAGTAAAGACTTAAAGAAACTTGCTGTTAAAACTTTACTCTTGTAGAGCTTATTTTCAGCCTTAGAAAAGTAGTATTTACCACCAAAAATGTTTCCACGGGAATCTTGCATTTGAGACTCCTCTAAAGGGTTGAGAGTAAGTCACAACCTCTGTCCTTTGATCCAGCAGACTGATTTCCAATGACTCAATTTAATGGAATAAAAATGAAGATTCATGAGCGTAGGGCACATAGAATCCCCATTCCATTTTTTAGTACCTTCTAAAGTGTATATCTAATTCTTCCTAACGAAGAGAAAACTAATCCAGCAAAAATCTTACCTCTTTATCCAAATATTCCAGTCGAACTGAGGAATTTTGGCGTAATTGGCCTTCATTTCATCGATAAATTCCAGTCATTGTCTTAACCATGTACTTATTTTACCTCTACTGAGTGAAAACACTTTAATAATCGCTAGACTTCTATTTCTGTCACTGGCTGATTGTTTTATACTTCTTTCTTATTGATCAGTGGATGGATGGATGAATGAAAGATAGACAGTAGAAATGAGTGAACAAACGATGGAATAAATGAAGGAATGAATGAAAGAATGAATTAAGACAGGATCTATCTTTGATGTTGGTAGAAATCTATCATTTTCATTATTTATTTTTACTTTTACATTGGATTGACAGAATGAATGAAAGATTGAGGGAGTGAATGAAGGAACAAATGAATGAAAGGGAATATATACTTAAAAGAAAAATGGATGAATGAATGATAAATTCTCAGACTGTAGGAATAAATGATAAATTTTCAGAATGAATGAATGATAAATTCTCAGAATGAATGAATGAATGATAAATTCTTAGAGTGAATGAATAAATGATAAATCTCAGAATGAATGAATGATGAATTCTCAGAATGTTGTTAACATTTTAACAAGAAATTCCATTGAGTAGTGAATATGAGTATAAATCTAGTAAAATTACTGGCACCGGTACCATGGTGTTATATTATCAGGTTGTTTATGTCATGGTAAAATTGCCAGTAATTTGGCACAGTGTCAATATCCCGGTACCAGGCATTCTTTTAATTTGTTTACATTTAGATATCATACAAATCAATGTATTGTTATTCCTATTTTTAGACATTAAGTACAGTACCATTTGTTGAGATCTTATTTAAGAAAATCATTCACAGAATTTGAAAATCTCCTCTTGATTTGGCATAATGACAAAGACCTTCCATTACCTCAATTTTGATCTTAGATCTAAGGCACTTTCAGGACAATTTGAAATAATTGTATGATAAAGTTCTGTTGCCATGGATACAAGTAAATTAATTTGAGACATTTACCAATCATAAGACACTAATTGTTAGCCTGCTTGACTTCAGATGAGCCTAATGAAGCAAGGTGGTATATGACAGAGATATTGGTCTTATATTGGATCTGTTCCATAACCCAGGGCAAAAATCAATATCCTTATCTTGTTTTAAGATGATGAGAAAAGATGAAAAAAATAAGGCGTTTTGCTTCCAGATTTTCTACTGCGGATCGAGCGAATGAAGAAAATAAAGACTCCCTATGTCATGCAGTGATCAATGAAGTAAACTTTGCCAGGAGGCTGCACAAGTTTATCTCATAATTCACTACATACAGGCATTTACAGATGAAACTTGGTTAAAATCAATGAACTTAGTCTGTAAAATTCTATTTTAAAATCTCTAAATTACTCCCTTGAGTGGTGGCCATCTTTTTACACAATTGAACTTCATGGAATTTTCTCTCCGAATTTTTAAAAAATCGGATAATGAGTTTAAAGAGCTTGTTTTTTATTTTCATTTAATATTTACTGGTGTTAAAAAGGTTTATTGCTTGGCCTTCGAACAAAGACTTTTTTACACAGAAAGATCTTCTAAATATTTTCAACCCAGCCCCGTTGTTAGGGTGGGGTCCATAGGGGCGGGGCCTAACTCAGGAAGTTAGAATTAAGCCCAAGCAAAATCTTCTTCAATTCAGCAGAGATTGATTCATTTACAGTGTCTTTGTACAAAATCAACAAGATTTTTGGCAGCTCAAAATTGTCAGAAATGAGTTCTCTGGATCTTTAATTCTTTAAATTATCTGAGTAAAAAATCTGAGCCCCAGCACTAATTCATTCCTAGCGACGGGGGGCTGTTTCAACCATTAAAAAAGACACAAATTGTTTTGTTTTTACATTCTTCTTTATTACAATACCTCAAATGGGATGAATTTGGCATATAAACAACCACAGAGTTTTAAAATTTGGACAGACAGAAATTCGAACATTATTACTTAAGGGTACTGGTACTGGCTTTTAGCCTAAGTCATTACTGTCATTGATGATATATTTTGTTACTAAACTGCCTAGCAACTGGTTAGATTGACCAATATAATATACTATTATTTAGGTACCATACCAGCAGTAATTTATTTGAGTACCGGTAGGCCTAGTGGTAATAATATAAAATTATGGTCAAGAACCACACTGTTATTCCGTTCATGATCTCCCATAAATGGTCATTTAGCTAACCTATATATCGTGCCTGGTAAATGTCAATAACTTCTCATTGACTGATAGCTAGACAATCTTTGGAATCCTTCCATCAGTCAGGCCAAACCAAATAAACTTCATTGAGTGAATGGAATTTGGAATTTGGTCGATAAAAAGTTCTAGTTATCTCAGGGGCAAGCCGTCTTTTCAGCATGACATTCGACACGAATGGGAATTTGAAGACAGGGCTACGACTGACACGGACCATAAGTTGTACCAGAACTTGTTCTGATGCCAGAAAAATAATATAAAGTGACATACTTGCTAAACTTCAATAAAATCCTGCATAATTTCTTCTCTATTTTTGTAGACCGGAAATGGAATTTGAGATCGATGACCGATTCAAGGGACTGAACTCCATGAAGAATCAGACCACAATTACAAGTTATTTTTTTTCACAGAAAAGGCCCATCCATGAGCCTATAAATTTCATGATATTTATTTGCAGGGTAAAATATGAAGCTCCAATAAATTTTCTTGGAACTTTTTAATCCCACCCCCTCCATTCAAAAGAAAAAAAAAGGCTTCAGACAACAAACAACTCGGCCAGTCGCAAATTCAACTCTCTAATGTTGGAAACAATGAAAGTCTACACGTTATTTTCATTTTTCTACAACTAAATTTATTCTAGTTTCTATAATAAATAAAATACAAACAAACATAGCTATTACCTTTCACTGTCATTCGTAAGTTCTATCTTCTTAGCCCACGTCCATATCAAATCCATTGACCAACAATCTGAAATCTGTCTGCTAAGCCATGTTTTGCCAATGTGCGTTTCTAATTCGTAGACAAATCATCAATTGAGGAATAAGGCGGTGAAGAACCACGATGGCACCTTCCTGGTATCCCCCCCCCCCCCAATGAATCAATGGCCATCGCAATTTCTTTGAAACAGTTTAGTTTCAGTTTCTGTTTCTGGTTAACCACATTTATTATTCTATTTTCAGCTTGACAGATAAAAGAAGAAATTAATCAAAATGGCAGACGACAAACTGAAGTCTATGAAATCTTTAATAAGAGCAGTATTAATGAGCAGTAAAGATGGTGTAGCTACAACTAGATTATTAGGTAAATAAATAGTGTAATCGTTCTTAAACATCCTAAATCCTAAAAATTTTAAATGGCATCAATTTGCACCATTCTTATATCAGTCCGAAGTTTGGTGCCAACTTTGCTGTGAATTAGTTTTTGTATGATTATGTTTACAAGTAGGCTACTGTGCATTTATAGTTTCCATTTTCAAGATTCCAATTGTCTGGCAGATATCTGCTTCTTCCTATGGGCATGGCATCTTTGGATATTTCCAGCTAGTTTCCCCCTAACAGTGTTAATAAAAATGAAAACAGTTCGAATTGTTCAAGTCATGTCTAATTTCAACAGATAATTCCAATTTTAAATCAGATGTCCAGCTAACTTTCACCTGTCAGTATTGTAAATAAAATCGCATCATTTTATGAGAATTAGAAAAATGATTTGGTGTCATTTCTAATTTTAGCCGATTACAGCGAGTTTGCTGGGGAATATCTGCCGTATAAAGAGATGGGGTTCCCGAGCGTGATCAAATTTATAGAAAGTATCCCCGATGTAGCCAGGATACGATATGACCATAAAACAGGGGAAGAAAGAGTCATGGCTGTAGCCGATGAATCTACAGCTCATATACAGAAAATGGTCTCCAAACAGAGGTCTGCTAAAAAACGCAAGAAAGCTTTGCCTAAGGTGAGTGCTTGGCTCTATTTCTGGGGTTATGTCCCACTATTATGTTCCTAATTTAGTATTTTATTTAAAACTGCACTTCCTTAACAGATAGATGCCACTGTGGTCCACTTTATCCAAATAGCTTCGTATTACTTGTTGAATTTTTCTAAGACAAAAAAAAGAATATTTAGGAAAGAATGTCCTGCCTTATATATGATTGGATGAAAAATGAAATTTTAAATTCTGCTTTTTTCAGGTCATGCACAGAAGACCCACAAGACCAGTAGTACCAGGCAGACCGCCCAGAGGACCTCGCCCACCTCCTCGGGGACCTTACAGGGGTCCACCATATGGGGGTCCACCTTATGGGGGTCCACCTTATGGAGGTCATCCTTATAGAGGTCCACCTGGCTGGCAAGATTACGCTAGAAAACCTATGTACCCGCCTATGGCTAGACCCTACAGTTCTCACGGCAGACCGGCTGTCCGACTGGACCCTTATGGTCGAGCTATATCTCCTTTGTTACAAGTACCACTGAGTGAATTTGGAGGCATGTGGGATGATAATAATAACACACCCAAAGACAATCAGAGTCCTGTGAAAAATTACACTGTCACTGTGGGAAATGTGGTTAGCCCCCGTTCTGGAAATTTTCACAGAAAAGTATCCGACAACCCTTGTGGGGAACCTTATGATGATAGACGAAAAAATCCTCATCCGGTAAGTCCTGTGTTTCAATGAACAATGCCTTCTTGTCCAATCTCTAAAATTCAATTTACCAAACCTAGTTTTTCTGATGAATGGCATCTTCACAATGTCAAGCAATTACGAATTGCTTCTTATACAAGAAATGAGCCTAATGAAGTCAAGGTATAAGATGCAGTTCATAATATCTTGACATTGTGAAGATGGATGGAGTCTTTAACATCCAAAACTTTAGTCCAAAGTTGAATTTATTTCTATGTTTTAACTGACATATTTTTTGTTTCGATTCCTGGCTTCTGTTTAATTACTTTTGAATTTCTTTCCAGGGTGCAACAAATGATAAAAAATATGGCAGCAGTTTTGAAAAGCCACCAAGATTCCAGAAAAAAGAAGAGAACTCTTCCATAAAACCAGTTGCAGGTACAGTTTTCTACATTTTGAAAATTTCCAATTTTTTTTATTTGCACACAAATAGGTTGGAAATTTCTTAATTTTTGATTTTTAATTTTTCCAATTTGGAAGCTTGTTTTGTTAATTCGTCCTGCCAAATAGGTTTGGACATTTCTTTTCCAATTCCAACCAATAAGCTTTGAAATTTAACGTTAATTTTTTCCTTCTTTAACATGACATTAATGACTTAACTTAATAACCTATCTTTAAGCTTTTAAGCATTCAAGCTTCTCCAGTAATATAACAACATAAGCTTCAAACTTTATTAAAAAATTCCTGTTTGCAGATTTGTTTGCTTATGATTTTCTCTACAACTGCCTTATTTCCAAAACTTTGTGCCATTCACTCAGCACCATTCCTGCTTACTCTTTGACATCTGTGATTCCTGACATTTCAGAAAAAAATTTAAATTACGGCGCCATCAAATCACAAACACAAATGGAATCAAAATTACTTGTCCTGGATAAAAACACAATATACGAAAATTTCTTTTGAATCTTTTGAAATTTTGACTTTAAAGAACCTGACAGTGAAAAAGTTTAAAGTGACGGAGACACACATTACTGACATGTTAAAGGGATTGTTGCTAGGGCTGTTTATTTTGGAAATTCACCGCCCGGACATTTGAACACGAAAATCAAAATCTTGTACCAAATTACAACGAGAATGCACAAATTCAGAAAATCTAGCTCTTCAGATCAAAATTGCAATCAGTCATTTTGGAGCTTTGCTCAGACATGACTGGTAAATACAGATAAATTAACAGCCCTGGTTGTTATTATTGTTCATAGTTATTGTTATTTTTAGTTGTTAATCCTAACACAATGGAAAACTGGGATTCACCAGAGAAATATCCCGTTCAATCCACACAAATTGAAACAGATTTTTCATGTAAGGCTTACTTCCCTTTATTACGCATGCATGTAAAATGCCCAGTGTGCTGAATAGACCCTGTGTGTCCCTAAATTTAAAATTTTGAAATTTTTGAAATTATACTATATAAAGCATAGTAATAGAAACATAGGGCATAGGAGTGAAAGGCATGGGGCATTTTACACCCTCCAAATTAATACTACAGTAGTCCTTATTACTTCCTTGTTCAAAATGGCAGAGTTTTTATAAGTTACAGTCTTATTTTTCCTGCTTATATTGTCTCTTTAATACCTACAACAATAACATTTTCTATCATGTTTCACTTTAGCATGTAACCCTCATATTAGGGAGCGATTATAATTAATAATAATAGAGAGAAGAGAAGGCTACTTTTAGTTTCTTTTCAATTTTCTTGGAAAATAAAGTTCTTATCTATTTGGAAATTTCCAAGAAAGACATCTTATATAACTTACTTGTTTTTATTTGGGCATGGGAACACTGGTTTGATTAGTTTTAAAGAAAATTAGATATTAAATAAGGAGAAATTTGAATTTATTGAAGTTAAAATTATATGGAATTTTTGTAATGGAGATCAAAAGTAATTCATTTTTATTTTGTACTATCATGCCTGATCATTCATTCATTCATTCATTTTTGTTCACTGTGCTTTTAAGCAACGAAATATTGTCATTCTTTCATTTAAATTTTTGCAGCTGATTCATCTGACAGCTGTGAATATTTAGAACTTTTGGAGGATTTTTCTCTCCACCATGATGTTGAGGTTAACGTGGATACGACAGAGGCTAGAGTAGGATCAATAACTGGACATTTGGGACTTGTCCACATGAAGGGAAGAAATATTGGCAGTGTTGGTAAGTCCTCTATCTAGCTTCTCCTATGTCTAACCCCCTGGGGCCTGATTCTTAAAGACTTAACTTTAAAATGATTTCAGTGTTCCAGTCATCTGATCGGTCAATCACTAAAATTGATTTTAAATTCAGGTTTGTTATCCAATCAGATTACTGTATTTCTAAAATCTGGAGTTGATTTGTGGAGAATAAAGCCCCCTGTTGGAAAACTAGCTCACATGCAAAAAGAATTTAGATGGGGACAAGAAATTGCAGCCCTGTGTGCTACAAACTGTACAGAATCCCCAATTCCTTAATATGTGTATGAAGACATTAAATAATAAAAGATGGCGTTGATTCTTTCAGAAGTTTTTGAAACGGAGCTAGCTGCCAGGGAGCAAGCAGCTAAAAATGCCTGTAAAGAATTCAATATCACTAAAGGTAAATATGTGATCTATTGGAAATTTTCACTGTCAGGCATTTTTACCCACAAATTTAGATAATCTTGTCTCATTTGAGGAGAATTTAATTTTCGTTTCTGAGAGAGCTCAGAGCTTAACTTACATGTGAAATAATTGGGTTTTTTCTTCAAGCTCTGAGCTAAGCCTACATGTGAATGATTAGGTTTTTATTTGAGCTCAGAGCTTAACCTATAAGTGAAGCTGTAAGCTTAGTTTATAAGTGAAATAACTGTGCTTCTTTCTTCAGAAAATGTATACCAGGACAGATCAGAGACATCAGGTAATTCTAGTGCTGAAGCACCGCCAGGACAAATCCAGGCCATTAATACAGTTCCTGATGCCTCTGCCAAAGTTCCTGTAGAAATTAAACAGAATATAATGAAGGTAGGTATGATATAAGGAATGTCAGATTTTTAGTCAATAGTATGTTGAATGTCAGTTGAATGTCAGCATTAAAATACATGATATATTGAATGTCAGCATTAAAATACATGATATATTGAATGTCAGTTGAATGTCAACATCAAAATACATGATATATTGAATGTCAGCATTAAAATACATGATATATTGAATGTCAGTTGAATGTCAGCATTAAAATACATGATATATTGAATGTCAGCATTAAAATACATGATATATTGAATGTCAGTTGAATGTCAGCATTAAAATACATGATATATTGAATGTCAGTTGAATGTCAACATCAAAATACATGATATATTGAATGTCAGCATTAAAATACATGATATATTGAATGTCAGTTGAATGTCAGCATTAAAATACATGATATATTGAATGTCAGCATTAAAATACATGATATATTGAATGTCAGTTGAATGTCAGCATTAAAATACATGATATATTGAATGTCAGTTGAATGTCAGCATTAAAATACATGATATATTGAATGTCAGCATTAAAATACATGATATATTGAATGTCAGCCTTTAATTAGTCAAATGAATGCCAACCATTCAAAAAAAATCCGTTGAATGTCAGCCCTGAAATACATGATCAATTGAATGTCAAATTTTTGATCATCTCTGCCAGATATTAGAAGAGATCACCGAGAGAGGACTTTGGGGTGCAAGATTTAAGGTAAGATATACAGAAGAGTTTGGACCAGCACCAGATGACTTGATAGAGATGATACAGCAGTGTACTGATATTGCCAGAGTTGAAATGTAAGTTTACCCCATTGCCCAATCCACTGAGTTTAGTCAGTTGTCTTTAGTTATATCTTGGAACACTTATAGACTAGTGTTCAGTCATCTTAGTTAACATTGCCAAGAGGTTTTGCCAAGGACCAGCTGGTGGAAAAGATCCTCAGAACCAAAACTGTTATTTTCTCTTGTATTAGTAACATTACAAGTTTGTGACAACTTCAGAAGTTTAGCAAAATGTTAAAAAGGTTCCAAATTTCTAAAATTTCAGAACGCATGACAGACCTATAATATACGTCATTAAACAAGAAAAACAGAAAGAGCCAGAACCTAAACAGCAAGCAGTAGAAGTCCAAAAACCAATCCAAAATACTGTCACACCACCAGCCACTAAGTCTTATTCAGCGCGTACTATTCCTATCATAAAACCAACTGTAGCCTCAGCTGGCAATTCCTTACCCCTCATAGTCAACCCTTTTAAGGTATGTAAAGATGCTGAGCCTTTTTTTTTTTCAGTTAAAAGCAATACCTCACTGCTCAACATTTTGAAAAAAAAATTTGAAATAGAAACTGATTTTGAAGATTATTTTCTTATATTTCAGGGCACTGTTATACCACCAGCTCCAGAAATGACCATTGGGTAAGATTTCTTCATTCATAGTTTAGCCTTCATTCCTTTATTCATTCATTCAGTTATTCATTCATTCATTCTTTCTCTCTATTCCAGCACGGATCACATAGCCTATGTAACCTATGCCACATCAGTAACAGAATTCTGTATACAGTTGGAAAGTAGCTGCTGCGATCACATAAATGACGTGCTCCAAAAAGTTTGCAAGGTAGGCAAATTCTTTTGTATGTCCTTAAATGCTACTCTTGCTACATAAGATGCCAAAAGATGAAGAACATCGTGTTTTCTATTTGCAGGAATAAGGTTTTGACGCCATGTCTTCTTTCCTTTCAGAATTTACCGAAACCAGATCCAAAGTATGTAGAGAAAGGTATCTACTGTTCAGCTCTGTACAGTGAAGATGAACAGTGGTATAGAGCTATAGTCATGACTGATGTAGTAGACAGGGTAAGCATTGTCTGCTTTTTATTAGTTGAGGTCCACCTTGTTCCCTGTTATCTAAATAGCTTGGGCATGTACTGTCAGTCAATCAGTGTCTGAACTTGATTAGAAGAAGAATTGTCTTCAGATCATGAGTAGCCCACAGAAAAATGGACAGAAACTACAAGAGTTACTGTTAATCCAATATAAATTATCTTCCAGAAGTTAACGGTCCGATTCGTAGACTATGGTAACATCGAAACAGTTTCATTGGACAATATCAGGCAGTTACCGCCAAAAGTGGTCAACCAGCCTGAGCAGGCTATAGTCTGTTCTTTATATGGTATCAAACCTCCAGTAAGTACTTATTTGAAACAGACTTTAGGCATAAGTTTTGATAAAACCTTGAGCTGCTTTTTGACCAGGTTTTCCATGTCAGTGATACAGGTCCTATGGGCTGACATGGGAAAAGCCTCTAGTTGTTCAGATGGGACAATAAACCAAAGGACAAAAGATCCCTTGACAGTCGGTAGTCTAGAAAGAGTAGGCTTATGTTGCTCTTCTGGCAAAATTTCCATCCTTGCACACTGCATGGCATGCCCTTCTTCATCAGCTCAGTCAGTTGCAGAAAAGTAGAACATAAAACTCCATTCATTTCATTGTCAACTTCTATACTCTATTACAGCAAGGTGATACCCAATGGAGCAAAAAATCTTTACAGATATTGGCTGAATTTGTGCAAGATTTAGCCTTAATAGCCCAGCCTGTCATTATACAAGGTATGTTGGCCATTATTTTATCTCTAGTCAATCAAAGTGTGGTCCCTTAATGAGAAGAATTAACAGGATTAAAGATTCATTTGTTCATTAATTCTAGCATTAATTCATTCATTTTCCCATTCATTCATTCTATAAAGATTCATTCATTCATTCATTCTCTCTACTTCTAGATGGTATATATGACGTCAATCTCTACCATGTTGATGATAAAGAAAAGTCTGTCAATCAGATGTTATTGGACCAGGGAGAAGCTGTAGTATTGTCATCACCTCCACAACGATCTCCTGATGAACCAGGTAATCATCCTGTTCTTCAGTAGACGCATCATGATCCATTTTCGGAATCAAGAATTTGCTTAAGTATTTGTATTGTGAGACATTTTATCTTGCTGTATTTTCAATGCAGCGATTCTGATGATTGATGTTGTATCCTTTGTTATTTTCAGAACTATTAGATATCCCTGATGAAAAGTTTTTGGATGTGTATGTCTCTTTTCTCAGTCCCATTACTGGTGTAATGGTTAGGCTAGTTGGTGATCAGTTCTCGGTAAGGCCTTGTTGAATAGAACATGTATATATAGATGTCCTTGACACATAAAGTATCTTTCTGAGCTCTTGATGCTCTGTACTTTAATGATCAAGAGTTAATGCCCTTGATTTCAGGATAAATTAGAAGAGTTGGAAGCAGAATTAGAAAGTTTCTACAAGATCTCACCCTTCAACTACATAATTACAGCTGGGATGGTGTGTGTGGTCACCTTGGATTCCTTGTACCACAGAGTCAAAGTTCTATCTATAGAAGGAGACAAGGTAAGCTGGTTCTTTTGGGGATTACAACCAGAAACTGGCTTTTAAAAATACTGTAATCTGATTGGTTGATAATTTTAGCGATTGACCAATCAGATGACAGCCATATCAAACCCACTGGTCCCAGATAACACAGTGAGTTTGTGTAAAAAAGTTTTGAGTTATTGCCCTTGTCCTATCACGATATGTTTTTGTCCTACACAAGACAACTATGGTACATTTTAGGCTGAGTGTTATTTCTTGGATCATGGTGATTCTGAATTGATATTAAAAGAAGTATTAAAACCAATTGATGTCGATTTGAACAGAAAACTTCCTTATCAGGTAAGCGTATATATATTTTCAAAATAGTTCATCACTATACTCAATATAATCTCATTTAAAGATCAATCAAGTCCAAAAATCATACATGACTGGTTTGTCCACTCAACATCCCTTTTGGAATCAGGGTTAACCATCATTAACCATCTGAACACTGAATGTAAATGAAATAAAACCTTGTATTCATTGACCTATGGGCCATCACTAACAACTGTTAAAACACCTCCGTCCTCCAAATAATATAACTTAAAGCATATGTAGAATGGCCCCAAGAAAGGTCAACTTGAGCCCTCCATCTTTCGTCCTTTCCAGGCTGTAAGTGTAAATTTATATGGTTTAGAGAACTACTTAGTTGATCCCACAACATTTGATCAGTTGTTTCTGGTCGTGGCTAAAATCTGTGTGGCTGAGGTGGTATCTAGGTAAGGTTTTCTTTTAGCAATTACTCTGGTTCTCCAGGTAAAAGTGTCCAATCGTTCAGTAGGGGCACCTGAATACTATAGACTGAATTGCCCTCATTGCACACTGCTTGCTTCATTAGCCAATTCAAGAACAGATAAGATTCAGATGGGAGCTTAAAACAGAATTGCACCAAGCTATGAACATGCAAAAACAGTTGGATAATGTCCACAAGCTCAACACACTGTCCATTTATCCATTTCAGGGATGGCAAGCTAACTGTAGTTCTGTATGACACAGACGGAGAAGAAGATCTCAACATCAATGAACAGATCGCGAAGATCCTCATTTCCGAGGGAAAGACAATTGATTTGAACTTATTCTCGTGCAATGTGGGACCCAGTAATTCCAGTGACACTCAAAGTGTGGGTAGCAACGACTCTGGACCTATCCACTCCCGAACAGACATCCCCAAAAACATTGTGAGTCCTTTCGAACCGAAGCAACAGAATGATCTAGCTGCTGAAGCTGTGAGCTCCATGCAAGCCAACTTTGACAGCATGACCTTAAGCAAGAACACTGTAGAGACAGCCAGCCTCCCGTCCGGGATCTCCAATAGTGCTAAGTCATCCTCTTCCAGTATCTATACCTGGGATAAATCTCAAAACCGAACGTCGACGCCCACAAACGGAGCGTCCATAACCCCTACTGTGATAACCAGTGTCCCACAAGCCCCATCAACTGCTACTGTGATGCCACCTTATGTTGAAATCCCTCCTGTGGGTAAAATGCTCCCTATATATGTTCTGTGGGTTGCTGACCCAACAAATTTTGTGGTAAGTAACTGTGGCAAATTGATGTATCTCAATACAACATGCTACTATACATGTATTGTATACGAGGGAACAGCTTAGCTTAATGACCCAAAGTGGTCTTTCCAATGAGAGAGGCAATGCATCTATCTGATGGTAGGATATCTGAAGCATTCTTTAATTAGTAGGATATAAAACTCTATTGTATTTCTGTGTGTATTTCAGTGTTTACCGTATGATCAAGTGGAAGATCTAGAAAGATTTATGGTTCAACTTAATGACCATTATGCCAGAGCTGTGGTAAGCATGTCAAGTTTTTCCTGGGCTGAAATGTACAAAACTGGTTGGGGTGTGTTCTGTTCACTCTGGAATCATCAAGAATTTTCTTTTCAAAATAACCGTTGATAGTATTATTTTAATTGAATAGTCTATTTATAGTTTGAAGAAGTAGAACCAGAAGTTGGACATCTTTATGGTGGTCAGTATCTTGGAGCCTGGTACAGAATGATCGTTAAAGAGATCTTTGGAGAACAGGTAAGCTATTTAAAGCGTTGTCCGTCTTTATTTGCCCACCTGGTACAGAAAAATAGGACGTAAAACTCCATTCATTTCTATTTATAGCTCAATGTATATATGGCTGACTATGGGGAGTACACCATCTTAACAGCTGAGGACCTTCAACCATTGCCCAGAAAGTTCTGTTCCCTTCCTTTCACAGCTTTTAAAGGAAAACTTCATGGTAGGTACCTCGTGATGCACCAATATTGGCATTTCATTGTGTTTGGTTAAAGAATGACCAAGGACTATCTTGTCCACTGACGAAGTCGTTAGCTATGTTAACCCTTTGAAAGGAGATTGGAGTGATGCACTTGAGAGAGTTCTTAGCTTTACTGATTTTCTGAAAGGAATGCTGAGCGAACAGGTTCATCAGAAGAGTGCCTTTAGGTACTCCAGAAGGTTGAACATGCCCTAAATGAAGTAAAGGGAAACTTCAAAGGGATTCACGTTGAAAATCCCAGTTGCAGACTGGCAGTCAGTGCTTGAAAAGGGTGAAGAAGTTTTTAATTAGATTTTCTTTAATTTTACCAGATTTAAAATGGTGTCATGATAGAGGTTTGTGATCTGTTCGTGTTCTGCACTCTTCAGAATTACTGTGTTTTAAAATTCATATTTTGAGACTTCACGCTGTTAATGTATTGGATTTTTCTAAGGCTTTTTGGGAAATGGCTAACCAAAGTTTTGTTTTGTATTGGGGGCACAACACTTTGATGATAATGCACATGTTTAAAATAGAGTTTAATGTCCTATTTTTCTAGTTTTAAAAGGACTAATGAAGACACAACGCCATGCAGTATGCAGTGAAGGACCTAGATTATTCATTTTAAGGTTCTTTCCATGTCAGTCCTTCCATCCAGGAGAAACAAGGCACATAACATTGTGTTCATCCTCCATTTTCTTTTTGAACTTTAACCTTTAAACTGTGACCCTAATTTGAACTATATTTATTACAGGTCTATCCAGTGTTGGTGACTATTGGTCAGAATCCTCCAAATATGCCTTTATGCAGCGGGCTCAAGGTCGCAGCTTCTTTGCCTTGATCTGTGATAAAGATGAGGAAGAGAGGATGATCTCCCTTAGATTGATTGACACTTCGGATGAAAACGAAGATGTCTGCATCGATGAAGTTTTGATTAGTATGAATTTAGCTCGAAGATCTTGAATTATGTATAGGGAGATCCCTGCTTGAGGTTGTCTATTTCAAATACATAGATGTGTGCTTCACCCTTGATACAACATGGTAGCATAAGATGTATTTGAGAACATGAAGTTAAGTTTCAATTTGCATGTGTTCATTATTACTGCAAATATTTCTCATGTTCGACTTGAAATAAATTTGTGACTTTTGAGTATGATTTTCAGTCAGTATTAAATGTCCCAAATTCCCAACTTTCCCCTAAATCATAATATTCTAGTCAATAGGGTTAAATATTTGATATTTATGTACAAATAGTATAAATAAAGTCTTGTTTTTTTGTCTTTTTTTCATATTTTCTGCAAGATCAATTATGAATCCTATATATAATAGATTTCTAAAGAATTCAGGATAATTTAGTAGCACTTTATTTTTGTGTGAATAGCCAAAGACAGTTAACCCTTTGAATACTGAACTGTTCACATTGAAAACTATTTGTGTTCAAAGGGTTAAGGATTGAGATATTTGAAAAAAAGGTGTATATAATTTTGTTTTTAAGGTTTTTGATTTGTTAAAATTTTCCATTCCATTTTTTTCATTAAATCTTAGTGCTTTTAATCCAAGTTGTTTTTCCTCTAGCAATGTAGGTCTAATATATCTTTGCTTTGATTTGATAATACCTAGTGACCTAATTAAGCGTCATACCTAGTGACCTAATTAAGCGTCATACCTAGTGACCTAATTATGCGTCATACCTAGTGACCTAATTATGCGTCATACCTACTGACCTAATTATTTTGTCATACCATTGGTATAGTACATACTCGTACCAAGTGGATTCTTAAAGTGCAAAAAGACAAGGCACAATGTTCATTACTGTTTATGATATATCAATTTCTACTAGACAAGATGTGGATGCAATCGTTATTTTCTGCTGTATCAATACACTAGATATTGTATTTGGTTTATTGGCGTCTGAAGATAATGTTATATGATTGAAAACAGTTGATATCTTAGTACTATATATCGCGTATTGTTAACTGTATTATCTTGTAAATAAAGATTATCTTGTTTTAAATACTTGTAATCTTTTCTTTCAATTCACCCCCACTCCCTACTATTCCCGAGTAGCACTACCCATCTTCATTCGAGTTCGATCAACGTAACTATTGCTAAAAGTACAATATATACAAGACATTTTGACGTTTTCATAGACATGTTATGATTAAATTGACAGATGATATGTTTTGATTGGTATATTTTGACCTATTTGATTGATATATTTTGAATTATTTGATTGACATGTTTTGACGTATGTGCTGGAAAGGTTTTGACATTTTTGATTGACGTGTTTTGAAATATTTGAGATATTTTGACGTCCATTGCATAATAATATATATGACAATTTTGTTTCTTTTACAGATATGGTTCGTTTTCTTTGTAATTTAACCAGTTTTCTAGCATTGCATTTCATCGTTGTATTTTAGGTGGTGTTGATTTCAGAACATGCTGTTTTGAAAACACTTTGACCTCTGTTCGATCAGTTTGAAGTCAAAGTAGGGGAGAATTCTGTTGACAACCTGTCTTGCAATTTCCTCTAGAAATTGAGGCCAGTGTGCTCTCTAAAAATGTGCTGTTTTTCAAGGTGGAAAAGGGGGGTGGGGCTGATTTTTTACGCCGGATTGTGTGAACTAAATAAAGACAACTGTTACAATATACAAAAATATAATTATACAATACACAATACAATACAAATACAATACAATACAATACTATTACAATGCTATTACAATTCAGAGATTTAATAACTATGACATGTTAATCTTCCGTCCACAGTGACTTTGCCAGACAGGAAAACCATAGATGAGTCTCGGACATCAATGGAAACCTGTGTCCGACCTAATGCGAAAGCACCTCGGAAGCTATACTCGGACGTATATAGAAATACATAGTGATGTCACGACGCACAAGGATTTTTTTCAATATATTCATATACATGTTTAACATGCAAGCCCTTTCGATACTAATCAAGGTACAATCCCACTCTTCGGACCCTACAGTACCTGTATGATTTGTTGGCCAACAAATCTCGATCATACGAACTTAACCAGCAAAACAAGCCTAACATCACCCTAACACAAGCAAGTTTAGTCCCTACAATCCCTAACACGAACCTAATCAAAATCCACTACAGCCCTACACAAATCCTAACCTTAGCAAACCTAACATTCCCTCCAACACAGAATCTCAGAACGTTGAGATTCGAGAGTGAGATTGTGTGTAGCACAAAAGGGTGAGCATAGTTCTACATGGTTATGGATAATTAAAAAAAATCTTTATTTACCACAACACCCTACGGATAAGCCTGGTTTCTGGTAGCATAGCGTAGCGTAGCTTCTTAATATCTAGACCATTGATTGAATTCAGTGGATGTTTTCTGAAATTCAAATCAAATTCATAGTTAAAAGCGAAATCTCAATAACATTAATGTAATAGTCTTATAATACAAAATATGGAAATACAGCAGAAATCTCATCTTCACATCTCATCTTCTCAACACACATCTCATCTTTCTAGTCAAGTCCGCCCAAAATATCTCAAACAGATATAACTAAGAATATCCGGGGGGATATATTTAAATTTTGAATCTTGCTTAGTCCCATACTCGAATCTCAAACGCCCCTATCGTAGTCCCTATCATAGCCCTATATTAATCAGAAAACAAGTAAAACGAATCATTATGTTGCTGGCCGGCAACCCCTAATCGAATTATCATATCTAACCTAACATCAAACCTAATAGAAACCTAGCACAAACCTAACTCGTGAGAGATATGAGTAGGGGAGGCAGCAAGATTTGCTACATCTGAGCTATTAAACTATGAAGTATATCTGTAAAAACGAGATTGACTTAACTTCTCTTTGGTTTGGTTTGGTTTGGTTGTTGTTGGTTTGGTTGTTGTTGGTTTGGTTGTTGTTGGTTTGGTTTGGTTGTTGTTGGTTTGGTTGTTGTTGGTTACAATTTCCATCCGTTACCTAAAAATAGAATCAAAGGGATCAGTACACCGTGTACCGAGCAGGCGAAATATAGGACCGAAAACAAAAACCCTAACATTGAAACGACCAGGAAAATGAATAAGATAATAATGAAAAGAAAAAACAATATAAGAAAAATTTATTTATTATTCCTTTAAAGTTGATTCTTGTCCTACAACTAAAAAAAATTGATTAGTTACAAGTAAGGATGGGGTGGGGGGAGGGGGGAGGGGTGGGGTTCAGTGTTTATTCAGAGTAAGCATACCCTGCAACACCATCAAATATTGAGCGTCAGCATGCTCAGTCTACAGCCTTGATGGAGGTAGGAAAGGGGGGTTGGTTTAGAGTAAGCATACCCTGCCACCAAATTAAGTTCTATTGCATCACATCATTCTTAAATCATCAGCATGTCCTTCCAGCGACATCTTTCTCCAGCTTTTATCATAACAGTCAAGGTAACAGGTCAGAAGAGGAGCGACGGTACTTGTCCCTAAAGTATCCTAGCACCTAGCTGAGCCCTATCTTTAATTCTACTCCTAGCACCTAGCACCTAGCTGAGCCCTATCTTTAATTATACTCCTAGCACCTAGCTGAGCCCTATCTTTAACTCTTTAAAATTTAAATTACTAAAAGCCCTACTGTTAAGTGTAAAAAAGTTATTATGAAAAATGGAAAAAGTTAATTGAAATCAAAATTATGAAAATAGAAAAGATCAAATTACTCAGTGAAAATTAAAATTAGGAAAATGGAAAAATCATATTATAATGACAATTGAAAAATCATATTATGAAAATGGAAAAAAGTTAATTGAAATCAAAATTATGAAAACAGAAAAAGAAACTACTCAAGAAAAACAATCGTGATCATAAAAAAATTAAAATTAAATTAAAATTAATTGAAAATATTAACCCTATACCCTAACACTTAACAAAAAGTCCTATCTTTAAAGAAGTGGTTACATTCTTCGTCCAAGGCAACCAAAAAAACGACCGAGGGAAGCAGATAATCGTCCAAGGGAAAGAATTGGAAAATAAAAGCTTCTGTTAGATTCAGGAATTTCGGGGTTAACATTAGAGGGGTTGGGTTATTATTAGTACTTGGCCACCACCGCAACAGTGCACGGAAAAAGGAAAAAGGAAAAGGAAAGAGTAAAATCCCCTCATCTAACAGACTCTTTTGTGCAACGTTACAACCAATCAAATACAAAATATGAATGTAACCATTAGAATTTAATACGAAATTTATTAGACCTTAATGACAATTACTTTTAAAAAAAAGATTAAATCGAATCCTACACCTACACACTTATTATTCGTACCGCCGTATCAGAGAGCCAACATCCTCCATACAAATGGCATTCTATGCATAGAATCGCCATTGCCATACCACCTTACAGAAAAATAAAGAGATCATTAGTAGTGAAGCATCAGCAAAATACACAACATGACAGCTCCATACCAATGTCTTTGACTTCAACACATGCATGTGTTGACAGTCAAACATAAATATATACACACACAAACACACCCTATCACACCCTATCACACACACATATCACACACTATCACACCCTATCACACACTTTCAAAACAATTCCCTAACTCCAACCTATCAGCCATACCCTAACACAAATTCAAAGTCAAAGTCTCAAAGCACGTCCGTCAATATCATCTCTATAAACTATATGGTATAGTTTAATTTAGAGCCTCACATGGTCCCACACTCGTATCCCTAACGCCCCTAACTTAGCCCTATTGGCCGAGCTAAGTCCTATAAGCAAATCGATGGAAATAATTCGCCGGCCAGCAACCTAAAGAATTATATTAAACCTAACAAAATCTAGAGCAACCTAACCAAACCTAACACAAACCTAACTTTGACGAGAGAGAAACGAATGTGGGTGCAAGGGGTAGCTACAATAGAGCTAATATCAGTATGAGATGATGTCCTACCTAACAATCCGAACCTAACACCTACTCAAGCCTAACAGCACACCTAACACCACCAGGAAACCCATACCTCCAGTATGCACCAGTTCAGTTCGACTTTCGGTAGCATTCCGCGACCCTGCCTCGGGATCATGGTCGTCTATCAGTGTTATACCCACCCAATTTGCCACCTCCATGACCCTCTCAAAACCAACAACACCTGAGCTGGATACGAGGGAGTGAATCATGCGCTCACAGGCCGTCTCGGACAATACTAGGGTACCAGCTAATGCACTTCACTGGTCGATGACTCTAACCGGAGCAATGGGGCAACTAAACCTCGTACCAACACACACACACCATACGTCCACCGGTCATATCGGAGACCCAGAGGGCGAGATAGCACGTCCATAAACCGTTCTCCAAAGGAACAGGGACATAGATTTGCAGAACTGTGTGCTTTCTAATCGCCTCCCCGTTCCAGCACACACCGGAAATATTCCTACACGAACCCAATCATCCTACTCAAACACCCACCTACCTTTTTTAATAAGGATTTTTTCCTTTTGGTTATTTCATTCTTGACCATTTCATACCATGAAATCGAATGAAATCATAAACATCCCTTTGACCATATAATCTTGGCTACCATTTATCATACTTTCATTACCTAAAAATAGAATCAAAGGGATCAGTACACCGTGTACCGAGCAGGTGAAATATAGGACCGAAAACAAAAACCCTAACATTGAAACGACCAGGAAAATGAATAAGATAATAATGAAAAGAAAAAACAATATAAGAAAAATTTATTTATTATTCATTTAAAGTTGATTCTTGTCCTACAACTAAAAAAATTTGATTAGTTACAAGTAAGGTTGGGGTGGGGGAGGGGTGGGTCTCAGTGTTTATTCAGAGTAAGCATGCCCTGCAACACCATCAAATATTAAACGTCAGCTTGCTCAGTCTACAGCCTTGATGGAGGTAGGAAAGGGGGGTTGGTTTAGAGTAAGCATACTCTGTCACCAAATTAAGTTCTATTGCATCACATCATTCTTAAATCATCAGCATGTCCTTCCTGCTGGTGGGGGAAGTAATAAGAAGTGAGGATATCA